TAAAAGTGATATACTGCTGGAATCTTTTTGTGATTAGGCTAAAAGTCGATATGACTCCTTGAAAGAACTCTTAAATGGTTACTGCTTCCTCAAAAAAAAGCTATTTCACATGTGCTCTCCTTCCTTAAAAACACGCTGAATGGGGTTACTTCTAAGTGTCAGATTTGTACTTCTCACTGCCCTTTTGAAACATTTGAAAAAGATGTAGTTGAGAAAGAGAAAATTAATAGATCAGGAAATAATCTCTAATAGATCAAAATGCAGCCACTGTAGTCATTCTTTCTGTTGCTGCTATCATTAGATTGGGTGTAGTAAAGCAGAATTCATCAAACTTCCCAAACACAATGGAGTGGCCTCCAAAAAAGAAAGTAACATTCAATTCAGTTTATTTGCATGAAACTAATATCTTTAGCTGTCTTTCCCCATTCCTCCTTTCCTGAAATGATGGATGCTTGAAGCTGAGATCCAGATACCTCAACCAACTTTAATAACCCTTCTTTAGTTCCAGAAGAAAGGAAATAGGTTCTAATATCCTAAAGTCCACTAGATTATTTATTTTTCTTGTGACTTCTGTCTCTGCAGATCAGCTCTAACCCAAAAGCTATGAGATCTAGTATAAGAACAGTGCTGCAGCCATGCTAACAGGCCCTGCTGAAAGGAAGGGTATGATAGCTCGGACTTAAACTAGCCAATTTATTGCAAATACAGTCTGAGTTCTCATTTGCCTCACTCAACCAGATATGTTGGTGCAAAGTTTCACATACTTCTTCAGGTCGCTTTGGCTTAGAAAGCTTAGATCAGACCACCAGGAGACAGAAGCAACATCATGGGCAGAGATAACCAGCAGTACATAAACAACAGGCATTGCATTACAGATAATCCTCATAATTAATGGGTAATGTAGATTTTAACTTGTTTATTCAGTGAAAAAGCACATTATGGACATTTCTTTGTAAGAAAGACTGAGAAATACTGTTGATGCTACTCTATCAATTAATAGTACAGGCCAGCCCCATGCACTGCATAAATTGATATGGGATTGAGCTCATGTTGAGTCATATCATCAATAATCGTGCCGTACTATTTTAGGTTTTGCCATCCCCACCAAAATGCAGACCAACAGTAGCTGAGAGAGCAGTGTGAACCACTGCTTAAAATTCTCCCACCGAACCAAGTGAGAGTCAACGTGATTTACATGTTGTTGCTGGAATTCATTCCCTTTCTGGATACTGCCAAACCAACCCAACCAGGGATGACTCATCTGCAGGGCCTCATAAAGTATTGAAAGGCTTGGGTTTTGTCTTTGGAATGCACTGGATTACAGCAAGGGTTTGTGATGCTCCAGGGTGGGGGAAGAGGACAACTCTGACTCTTCCCTGCGAAGACATTCCCAGTCTGCACTCTGCATATTAACTGCATGTTAAATTTATTCCTCACTACCTAAGGAAAGCATTGAGCTTTCATTCCTTTGGCAAACGGTATCACCTTTCCACTTTGATTTTGCTTGAGACAACATTTTTTTTTGCTTGCGTAGGAAAATAAATGAACAAATTGCCCAATCCCTCACTATTCCTTGCTTTCCCATTTCTAACCCTGTGGTAAAGAGATGTATGATGAGCTATAAAGGAAAATATCTGTTAGAGTCCCAGCTAAAATACTGTCAGCACATCACTGGGTAAAGTAGAAAATTGAAAACCCAAAGAAGGGCAAAAATAAAAGAACTAGAAGAAAAGAAATATTCCACAGGAGGAAAGAGTAGAAGCCAGTTTTGTTTAGAAAAGATTTGATAGATCACATGATGATTCATATGAATTAATAAATAAACAAGTCTACTTGGCCGATAGTAATTTTCTCCTTAATGCATATTAACTAAAATTAAACCCAGAATTTATAGCATAACATATTCTAAAGCTATGAAACTTATTACCACCTACACTGTAGTAAAAAGCCAACAACCTAATATGACTTTAAATTGGGCAATAATGCCATATTTACAGGATACATAATCACTCACATTTGAGGAATGAAATCAAATGTTTTGCTGACTGAAGTTAGGAAATAACATCACTGCTGGTAGATTTTTGCATCATCATCTACCATGGCTGATAGACAGCTTTAGTTGAAGCCCATGGGATCTCTCAACTTTCAACAAAAGTACTGGGAAAGCCTGTTCTGATTATGACAATTTCAATGATCCCATGTAAGAATATATAAAATCATAGAAAGACATAAAGAAAATTAAGAAATTCCATCATAATAATTTCACTTAAATCTGTATAATGTATCAGGAAAGACAGAAAAACATCACAGTTCCAAGCTTCAAGAATTTACCAAGTATGCACAAGAGGTATCTGAAGTTCTATCTGCCAAAGTTCAGGCAGCTCTTCACCTGTCCACAGATGTTTTATGTATCTATTTCTATTGATGTTATCTGAATTCCTAAGGTAGAATTTCTTAGAAGTTCCTCAGAAATGGCTTTATAAACCTATTTATTGATTTGTCTTTTCAGAAGTGGCCTGCATGAGTTCCTTGACAGTCACATCTGAAATGAGTTTCTACTTGCTTGCATCTCACTTTGTGAAACCATGCATTGAAAGGCAAAAGGTCTATTAATCAGTACCATATAGTACTTACTAAGACCCACGTTTTTATAGAAAGTGTTTGGAAAGGAAAATAGAGGTCTATGAGGAAAATACGCTCAAAGTACTGCGTGTGTCATATCTGAGCAACCAAGCTGTAATGATAAGGTGTGTGTTCACCTCTAGCTGCTGGGCTAGACTGTTAAAAGGTCATGTATTGCAGAATTAAAATTGGGCCTGTCTCACAGAAGACCTAGAGGACTGACTGAATCAGGACTGAATAAGCAAATGTTACTTTTGCAAAATGGTAATATAAATGATATGGGGCTGACTAATAATACACTTAACTTCCTCTAACAGAATAACATGATGATCTACAGGACTGAATTTCAGACTCTGAGCTAAGATAATTTTTTTTTTCTTATTTTCCATCTCAGTCAGTTAGAAAAAAATCCTTTGTTCAAAAGACCAAATCTTAGACTTTTTGCTTCCCTATTTAATCCCATGTGGGAATCCCCAACTGACCTGAGATGCAAAAGATATTCCATATGTCAGAAGCCCAATAATGGTGGTTCAAACATGGTTCCAACTTGTAACAGATTTACAATGCAAATTATCTCTGGACAGTTTGACCAGGAAAATAAGTGTTTCCCATTGAGAGAACTGGTTTCATTTTACTAGAAGATGATGAATCCAGGATGCATGTGAAAGCACAGTGCTGTAAGTGTCTCTCAGTTCACAGTTTTTAAGGTTCCAGTTCTAAAAAGGGGGACATCCAATTTAATGGAAGAATTACAAGCATAGCTAGACCAAATCTTTGTCCTGTGTATGTTTTTCTAATGGAGAGTGTAGCTGCCTCAATACTTTGAATTTAGCGAATCATAACTCCCCTGCTTAAGTGTACCGACTTTTAAAACTAGATGATAGAAGTTTTAGTTAGCAGAGCTCATTATTATGTCTGTAGTCAATCTCCCCTTTGTGTACTCAGAAGGGTTACCATGAATCTGGTTATTATCTTGCAAAATCAATCTAGTTTAAGGATTATTCTTCCTGAAAAGACAATGGGCAATCTCTTCTTTTGAGTATCTTTTTTAAATATTAAGCTGCATGTACATCCTAGAAGAATTTGAACATGGGATGTGAGCTGAGATCTTAAGCAGTCTAAAAGAACACACCAGTCTGCTGAATATGATATCCAGAAAAATACAAGTTCTCATTTCAAAGGTAATATGCACACATACATACATATATATATATATAAATCTGTATGGCATATTTGCTGTGCAGGCCTAGATTCCTTGTGAAGTTGTTTTTCAGTATAGCAAATTGGAAAAACATGCCCGGAATTAAAGGTTACTTAATCGGGTTGAAGCAGTAACTTCAATTCCAGCAACTCCCTCCCACTATGTTACATCTGATAATGTACCCAAGCCCAAACATAAACTTAGTTCAAAAAGATGTTTGGTACTTGAATGTAAAATGACACTTAGCTTACACAATTAGCCAGGTAATACATATCCTTCCAAGAGAAGCAATTTTTTTTTACCACAGAATAATCTGCATTTTACTAATCTCTGATTGTTAAATTCTACTTGCTGAAACTTTTCCATATGGCTTTTTGAATACCACTGTCCTGTATTTAATTACCACAGAAGGATATTAATGAAGAAGTTGGAAATTTGGCCCAAGCCCTGTTCCACAGTTTGGACAGTTTGATGGAGATAGATAGAGCCAAAGAGCAGAACGTTTGTGTCAACACAAGGCTCTGCCATTTCACATACAAAAGCAGTGGCAAAAGAGGAGTAAACAGACCTACAGAAATAAAACACCCAACTATTTCTGAATTGTCTATAAAATTCTAAAATTGCATGGGCATAAAGTAACCCTGAATCAAGTGAAGTGCTGGTTTGATAATCTAAAGGACAGTCAAACAGGAACTGGTGGCGCAAGTAGTCCTTGTAATCAAGACCATTTTTATGGTGCTGTTAGTAAGACACATGCCCTGAAATGCAAAGTGTACTTTCCAATTTTAAAGGCAAAACATGATATTGAGCAGAACCAAAGCAAGGGTAGGCAGCTTGGACTGGAAAAGGATGCAAGGAAGCTAACGTGGGTGGGAAAGCATATGTTGCTGCCTGGATGAGGAAGTGGTACACCACAGTTACTTCATAAGTGCAAAGGCTTTATAAACTAAATCTCCTAGGGACTGTTTTAAATAGACAAAAAATGACATGCAGCCCTGACAGGCTTTCAGTATTGTTTGAGAAGGCTGGTTGCTGCCTAAAAACATTGGATTGCCACTTGTACGATTTCCAAAAATCCCAATTTTTAACCTCAACCCCTTCATATAAACATTGGGAAGATGCACCATGTAGTAAACTGTTTCGTATAGCATGAAATTAATGGCTTCCTCAGTCTTACCTGACAATGGAAAACATATTCTGGTGTGGTTTTCTTGAACTTCATGTTCCATACCAAGGCTACCCCATCAGGCTCATGTGGAGCATCTTCATTATTGTTATAAGATGCAACCATCAACTCAGGGTACTAGAAAGAAAAAGCAAATGAAAAAAGATAGATGATGAAGAATCTATGGAAAAATCTGATGAGACAGAAATAATCTACACTAAATGTGCAATATCTGGTTTTAATTATAACACATACTAGTCCAATCATAGTATTCAGCTTCATTTTGGTTTTATATTTTACTTGTCCTTGACATCCTTAAAGTCCCTGCTCCTTGCTTCCTAGCAGTTATTCTCATATCCCACAAAGGCCATGTTTTTTTCTGCAGGTAATTCTCAGAAAAGACATCTAGTAGGATATTTGTAAATGGAATGCAAAGCAAAGAAGAGGAAAAATCTGAAAGCTTGAGTAATTCTAGTGTATTTACTTAACCATTTCTTCAGGGACAAACCATCGTCTTAATTGATTTTGATAATTAAAAAAAATATGACCATAGCGTTGACTTGCTTTTATTTTGTAATTCAGAGTTTTTTTCAGCATTCCTGAAAACTATTCTCTCTTGTTTCATTATGCACCCTTCCTTTTCACTTATGCAAACTTGAAAGCTCTTCTTGATGATTCAAATAGCAAACAAAACATTTTCTTCAAAGAAGCTCAATTTCGCAAGATGCTGAGGTCATTTTGTAAAGCACAGGGTGACCTCAAATTCCACTGACTCAGTAAGATTGATGCAATGAGCACTCTAAAATCAGATCCATATTTTCTCCTACACCCATTATCCACTGTTGTTTAAAAGTAGACATGCAACACACATGTACTTGCTCTGTTTATATATCTATCTATATAGAATCACAGAACAATTTGGGTCAGAAGGGACCTTCAAAGGTCGTCTAGTCCAATCTCCATAGTACACATAATATCATAAATCAAGTTTTCACATTCTGTGATGACCTTATATCATTTCAAAACACCATAAGAACTAAATATTTGCCCACGAAACACAAATTACTGTCTGCCTATGCAATAGCACCCGGTTATCCACTCTCTGTGTCTGACACTAGGCACCTCTGGTAGCCTCTGTCCTCTCTGAATAGTCAAAGTAAGGCAGAGGACCTTATGGAATTCTTTCCCTCAAAATTTCTCAATGACCTCCACAAATCATTGTCACTTTTTGTCTTTCCCAGGTAAATTCCTGCCAAACTGTTCATCAGTTTACAGGGGGACAGTGCAGCTGGTAGGTGTAAAAGAAGTGGGACAAAGAAACTGCCAATAGTGCTACTGGAGCTGTGAATTTGGTCCATAACAGGCATTTTACCAATTACAAAACCCTACCACCCTTATTATTATTGGGGTTTGCACATTTCTGCTCTCAAAATCAATTTGGAAGAAATAATGCGCGCAGCTATAACTTTTGCCATCGGCAGCTGTTCTTTCCCACTTTGTGCACACTTCCATGGATAACACATCATGGAGCTGATGATTCTAGTATTTAAGCTCATAATGCCAAGTGAGCCTGTACCCACACATGGGAAAACTAGCAGTGACAATGTGGCTAACAAATCCCATAGCCACTTCTTTCCCATTTTGGGGCAGCTCTGGCTGGGTTGTACCTACAACCCAGCAGACCCAGGCTGCTGGCACAGCTTGTAAGGGCGATTTAGCACCCAAATCACTTGCACAGGATTTAGAACATGCAGCAGACCAACCACCTCTTCTCCTTCCTCCAGAACTCGGAGAGACCTGAGGGTGGTTTAATCCCACACCTGAGACACCACCTCTCTGGACTGGGGCAGCTCTGGCTGGGTTGTACCTACAACCCAGCAGACCCAGGCTGCTGGCACAGCTTGTAAGGGCGATTTAGCACCCAAATCACTTGCACAGGATTTAGAACATGCAGCAGACCAACCACCTCTTCTCCTTCCTCCAGAACTCGGAGAGACCTGAGGGTGGTTTAATCCCACACCTGAGACACCACCTCTCTGGACACAGTTGTGCCAGCCTGCCCTCCACTGCTCTCATCCATCTCACCCACCTCTTCTATCTCTCATGGCAAAGATTATAACCACTTCTGAACAGCAAGCTCAGCTTCTCCTTTGAACCTTTGCATCCTATGTTGGTGTAGGTCCAAGCAACCAGCATGTGCAGCAGGCTTTATTCAGGGCATCTTGTTTTGGCTGAACAGGTGAAGTACCATTCATGTGAGCAGCTGAGTCCACAGCCATGAAGGGGTAGATACTTTGGCAGGTAGAAGCAACAAGCCCTTCCACCAGCATGACTGTAGTCAGCTAGGGTGTTTGATCAGGTCTGAAGCACAAATTTAGAAACACCTTGGGGTCTGTTCTCTGGAAAGTTTAGCAAGCATGTTCTGGTTGGCAGCATGTCTGGCCATAAACAAACACTGACTCAAATCTTACTGGTCCGTACGTAGGTTTTGCAATCAAAGTTTATGCATCTTACTGGAAATACAGTTTCAAGTTTACACAGATGCTGGCGTCATACCTAGCTGGGCAGCACCATTATGAGGCTTTTTGACTTTTAAAAAACCGGAGCTAAATGCAACACCTAACGCCATGCTGGTGTTACACACTCACTGCTTCAGTCAAGCTACTTGGATTTACAGAGTTTTGGTCCTCATCAGGTGCCCAGCTGCCCTGTGAATACAACTGAAAACAACATGGAAATGGTGCTGTGGGAAACAGCATTCAAGGCTGCTGACTGAAAGCAAAGAGCGACACAGCATATCCCTGAGAATGTGGTTTTCTTAGCTTTAGATGAGCTAAGTTACCTCCTCATGGACAGAGCAAGGTGATCCCACTCTCTCTGTTTACACTCAGTCTGTTGAGCCTTTCCCTTAAATCCTTGATGAAGCATCTAAGCTGTTTTCCCTTTGCTCTGCAAAAGAATCAAGGGGCTAATGGCTTAGCTTTAATGGTATGAATGATCCCACAAGTTTGGACTGTATTTTACATGTGACTGGGAACAGAATAACTTGTGTATGCATCAAGGTCCTTTGTTTGATCAAGCTTCTATTTGACTCCAGGCTGTTTTGCAGCAACAGTTTTATCACAGACAACTCAGCAATGTGTTCTGCAGTTCCCATGATTATTCAAGTTATCCTTCAACACACTGGACACTGCCATGTCCTGGAGCATGGGTGAGAAGCGGAGCTAGCGGTTAGGTGAAATACCTCTGTCCAGCTCCAGCTCCTGCCACACGATACACCTCAAAGCAGGCAAGAGAGGAGGCTAATCCCTACTCCCAAACTAGCACAGGGTGGCATGCAGAAGCCCCCCAGCATGGAGAAGCTGCTGGGGCAGAAGAGCCCCCACTGGGGTACCAGGGAGCTGAACGTGAGGAGTTAACAGAGGGGAAGGCAGGAGGGGCCACCCTGGAACAAAGAGGTGGGAAGCAGAACATGCCTTCGAGCCCCAGGGGCTGAGCAATTACATTTGGCAGTGTTCTTCTGAGGCGGCTTTTTTTCTTGCTGCCCTGGGAATACAGTAAGAGCTGCCTGTTAGGAAAATATCAGATAAGAATTCCATGTAATTTCCAGCCCCTGAACAAGTGAACAACCTAAGATAAGTGTTTCCTCAGGCTTATATTTGATTTCTGTGGAAATCTACATGTGCTTAAAGGCCACCCACGTCACACCAGTGCATACCTGTTGTTAAGCTGATATTTTGTATGAAAGCAAAGGGATAAATCCTTCATTTCACACGTGGGGTACGAGCTGGATATTACAAGAAGCCTCTCTGCAGCTGGCTGTTGTGCACCACACCTGGTCAGACAGCCAGACCTGCAGAGCCTATCAGTGATGCTTGGTTGGACCCTCCAGCTCCTTTCCTCCCTGCAGCCTGCCACATCCTGCATGGTCAGCTGCCACCTTACTGAGAAGTACCCAGAGGGACAGAAGCAGTCCTGCTGCCATTTCAAGGGGAAGGAGAAAAGGATGGATGTGGGAGTCACTGCCTTATCCACTGCCTCTCTCCAGCCCGCACCCACCATTTACATACTTGGCCTTTAACACGAACTGTGACCACATGCAGATCTAACTTGGTGCAGAAACTGCAGCTACTTCTAAGGTTAGGCTAAGAAAGGCTTGTTCTTAGCACTGGGCTGAGCTACACCTATAGCATCTTTGCTACCCACACCAGGGCACACCTCAGGCTGGACTGGGGACCAACTAGTCAGAATGGCTTGCATTCTTATTTTTCAAGTCTATGCCCTCCTGTATTGTGGACCTGAGAACAGAGTCTCCCTGTTTCCTCCCCAGGGAAACCAGCTGCTTTGCTCCAGGCTGGAACCCAGGAACAGTCTAACAGGGACAAAGCAGAGAGGATGAGGGGGGCTGGAGAAAACCTGGGACCACATGAATTTGACAGAACCTGTGATGATGTGTGTGTTTGTCCTAATCACAGCTCTCCAGTGGAATAACTAATAAACCTGGTTTCTGTGCTTTGCTGATGTGGCTGCATTGGTTTTGGGCAGCTTAAGCAACTCTATCATCAGTTTTATTTTGCAATATGACAATGCTTGGTGGTGCACAGAAACTGGATGCATTCCAGGCATGCTGCTTTAGCATGCTGCCTGCCCCCCAGCTGCAGCCTCCCCTTCCACCACTTGCAGAGAGGACCCAGCATTTTTTAAAAGACCTCTTTTAAAGTTGTTCACATACTTAAAAATGATGAAATTTAGTATATTAGAAAACAAATTTTATTCCTCACTAGTTTTAAATTTTATGTTATATATTATGTATAACTGTTTATTATATCAATTGCTACATATTTAGTAAATTATTTTTAATTAGTTTAATTTTAAACCTTTTGTCCTAAAAAATTGTCCGTGTGGTGAAGGACTGGAGGGGGGAGGAAAAGTCAAGACTCCATCTTAGTAGGTTGGCTAACCTATAGTTTTAGTACAACATCCTGGCTTTGAAGCAAAGTAGCATATACCAAATAATGACAGCTTCATTATTGTTCACCACTCTTCTCTATGGAGAAACACGCATTTGCTCATCCAGGGCCCTGCTGTTAGCTAAAAAATAACATCATACTCTGCAGAACAAAGGGCAAACTGAGGCTGGCTGTATTTTGTCAGGGAGAAGTTGGAATGGATATGGAAACATATCTCCCAGGTTCATGTCTTACCTGAAGAGACCAATCCATACAGGTGACAACACGATGCTTTGACCAGTGCTCATCATAAAATTGACGGTTAAAAGAAAGGTTGGCTCCTGCTTGAACATCTCTGTGTGAATGCAAACAAAGTGACAGTTTTTGAAGTACCAGGGTTCAAATGCCATGAAAAGCAATGCAAAAGTTTTTGACCACTTCTCAAATCTCTGCCCAGCCTGAAGAAGTCTGCCACCTTGATTTAATTGTTCTCACTGGCTGTCCTGCTGATAACAAATCTGCACCAAGGAACAGATTTTGTATCTGTTTTACAAAAACACATTTCATAACCTCCCACTGTTTTCCTGGCTCTTCTGGGTCACCCTGGGCCACCTCTGTCACCTTTGCCTCTTAGGACCGCACCTGGCCCTGGCATTCAGCTCCCCCTTGTCTGAATCTTCACCTCCCAGCTATAGCCAAATCTCTCTTATTTTTGACTCCATAAGTCTTAAAGTTACAGTACCTCCTCCCAGCAATGGGGATGGTGGATGCCTTCTGGTACCATTAGGACAGGCTGAAGCTCAATGCTGATCCACTGCTGCCACACTGATGCATTTAGCTAGTCCACAGGGGTGATGCTTTACAGTGACCTCCAGTAAGTAACTTCAGTGTGACACAGCTACTGATTTGCTAGGAGGCTCCAACAGATACACAGCTGTTGAAACCTAAATACTTCCTCTCCTACTAACAAGTTTTGCTGCTTCTACTCCCCTATCAATTGCTGGATACACAACCTGTCACCTCTTGTCTTAAGCGTTTAGATTGCAAACACTTTGGGGGATCGTTATTTTCATCCACACGATGCATAGTGCAGCGGGATCCATTACAGACCCAAGGCAGTAATAGAATATAAACAACAGTAATTTGAATTTGTAAAAATACCGTGATATAAGCACACAGATGTACACCACTGGAATGTACACATACACGTCTACACATACATCCGTGTACACATATTTATGTATTTCAATTATTTCTTCAGAATTTGAAATTTCATTCAAAAAATGAAACAAAAACTTAAACCCTCTGAATAATACATCAAAGAAAAAAAAACCCAGAGCAATAATGCATGAAGCTATTTTACAAAATAATTTTGGTTAACAAAGTGACACAGGCCTTCATAAAGAGATCTTTACCTTTTCAAAGCTATAAAAATATTTAATTTCATTTTAAAATTTAGACTTCCTGGCATTGGAATTCTTTTGATAAAGCTTATTTTACAAAAAAAACCAAAACAAAAAAAAAAAACCAACCCCAAACTGACCCATCTTTCTCTTCTACATCTCTGCCACTGTAGTCAAAAAAGATGTCTGAATCTTCAGCCAAAGCTCGCTCAATTACACGTATTGTCCGGTCAAAAAATATCAGGAATTCTTCTGAATGGAGAACTTGCTGTTTTTCTTCTTCTGTGAGTTCTCTAGGAGGAGCTTGGAAAATTAGAAGATGTAGTTAAGAGTATGACATTTCACCCCTTTTCCAATGAATCAACATCTTCAGTGAGTTTCTTTTGACATGAAAGCTTGCTGTAGAAATGTCAGGACAAAAATCAAAGCTTTACTCTTAAATCATGACTAAGAATTGTTTAGTATAGCTAAACATACTCTTGTATATTCCCAGAATGTAGCATTTACATAGAAGAGATCCTGTATCTTATATATTTATTATTCTGAAATGGAAAATACTTAAACCCCCAAATTAAATAAACTCAGTGTTCCTATTTCAGGAAATGGCTGTGACTGACATTTAGGCAATACCTAACTTGAAAAAGCAGAACACTTATGTAACAGGGGACCTGTCAGAGGAGCCAAAGATAAAATAATCGTCTTAACTTATACTACGGTTCTTTGTATTAAAAAGGCTCACATAATCTCTCCCTTCACTTCTTCCCATTTCTCCTTGGTGTCACTGATAAATTCTGTCTTTATTTTAGAGCTTTTGCAAAGTGATGAAGTAAATAACCGAAGATACCCTCTGTGGCAGCAAAAATGAAAGCAAATGGCCAAACATCAGTCTCTTTAAGGCAGTTTTGTTCCTTGCAGAGGAATCCTGAGAGCCAGAGCAACAAATGTCACTGAGCTGTGGCCAAAGCTACCCTGAGATGGGTAGAAGCCATATCAGCCACTGGTCAGGATAGCCTGGTCATCAAGTTGCTTCTGTACACATACACAGATGCTAAACCTTCCAGTGCAGTGTTTCCAGTATGGACTTTCGTTTGTAAAATACTGTCTTTGCAGGATTCACCAATGCTATGCCTCCATCAGTTTAATGACCTGTTGGTGAATTTCAACTCAAACATGAGCATCAGGGGGAAAGGAAATTGTTATGCTGCTATTCCTACAGTAAAAAATTCTCTTCTCAATTACAGTAGCAGGGTCATATTGATACTGTGGCCAGTGTTGTATATCAATTATGCCTTTTCCCACATGTGCTTTTAAACCGTCACTTAAGCTATATTTCAGAATTACTTGTATTTCAAAAAATGCCATTCATAGCTTCACAGTTACACCAAAACAATCTTTCAACTAGCTTAAATTCCCAGGATGAAAAGCACTATTGACAACATAGGATAATGCCAACAGAGAATTTTGTTCCAAATTTATAATTAGGCACATAAAGAACATATAATAGGCAGATATACTGCAAAGTTTCAGACGCTTATACTCAACTGGCGATCAAAGGTCTCCTGCATTTGGCTTTACACTACAGATTTGAGGTGTTTACTTCTGAAAAGTCTCCCTAGGCCATACTGGGTTAAACCACCAGCAGCCAGAAAAGATAATTCAGCACAGTGCCTCAGAGAACACCCAGTATACATCAAAGTTTAACTCCCAGCCCTGTCATACATATCTTAATACTTAATTAAACAAGTGTCACAGGTTAAAGTTGCAGTTCAAAATTATTTTTCAGTTGCTGTGCCACATCACACAGATTTTTCAGCCATCAGGGAGATGTAGCCCTTGCTCGCCATCTGACTCTCTTGTGGTTCACACTAGATTTGTGAGCTCTGGTGCCCAAGTATGACACCACCAGCAGCCCCAGGAGTAAGGACGGATTGAAAGGCGCAACAGCAGGCAGGAGTAGTGACGTGGTCAGCGCTACTGCAGTACTTGGCTCCCTAATTTTCAGTGTGCTTGCTTTCTGAGCACACCCTGTGACTGGGAGAGGCTGTTATCACCATGCTTAGGTTTGCTTCAATTGGTCAGAGTGTTAGCTTTGAAAGACAAAATCTCTGCACTACACCTCGGCTAAATATAGAGGGCAGGAAAAATGAAAAAGGTGGAGAAGTAATTTGGCCCTTGGGAGACAAAGCAGCTAAGAAGTTAGAAACTTTAGCCTTTGATGATCTCCTACGGCCTTGGCCCTGAGCCCCCTACCACCAGGTTAGTGGTCCCTGTGGAGCTCCACATATCCAGAGAATATCTACATCCCCCTGCACAGTTGCCCCTGAGTAGCAGAGCGACAATTACCAGGCAGGAGCACAATTTGCCTCTAAGTGCTTTAGACAGAAGCAATGCATGTGAAAAAAAAGAACGACTAGCAAAAAGTACAGGTTGACCTATTGCAGCATCCACTGCTGAATAGTAATTGCCACTAGAGGAACTCATCTGGCAAGGAAGCCTGTAATGAGGCAATATCCCACTGTCACCACTAAAGCATTGCTTTCCGAGAATCAAAGACAACAAGCACGACAATGCAGCAAAGCAGCATAAATGGGGAGAAATTGACTGCAAAGGCAACTGGAAAACTATTTTTAAACTGCTCCAAATGCTAGAAATCATTTGCTAAATCAAATCCCCTCTACAGCTTGGAAATATAAATCTATTACTCAGCCATTTGCTGAGTATAACTGGCAAAGAAAATACAACCAAAAATCAATAGAAAAGGAAAACACAAAAAATAAACAGCCTAGGAGCTGCGGAGTGTTCACAAGCAGTGGAGATGCACATGATTGCAGTTCTACCTCAGCAAAATCTCCCTTTCAGTTAGCAATGATCTGTGGGAGGCCAGCAGTCTATTAAACCATCAGGAACACCTTGGCTAAAGTTTGTAGGGCATAAATCAGCTTACCTCATTCATCTGACTGACACACCAGATGCCCCCTGGCAATATTAAGCTTCATATTTTAACCTTTTTTTCTTCTTTCATTTAGCTGCCTCTGAAGTTTTATTTGAGGCAATCTCTTCTTACAAGAATGTTAACATCATTACTTTTTCCAGTGTAAAACATTGCTATAACTACTGCAAATACATGAAGTATAAGCAAAAAACCCCAAACAGACAGGCTTGTTCTTTCAAATATGAAGATTTTCTAACCATTTATCTTTCAGAGCCTCTTCCACTTTCCCCTTGTTCCTTTTCCCTGTCTGTCCATTACCTCAAATAAAACAAAAAGAACCTATGTAATTTTCTGCAATTTTTTTACCTATCTGGGAGCTTACAGTTACTTTGATCTCAGCTTTCAAGAGACACAGGCTCTCTTCAAGGAAAACTCTGAGAAAAGTAAGTAGCTGATCAAAGTATTTTTTGTTTTGTTTTGTGACAGAGACCTATGTGATGTGACAATACCTTCAGAAATTCCCTGTAAGAACACAGCGTTTGCCTTCAAGTATCTGCTCTCCCTGGCATAAACCCCAAACAAACCACATCTAACCTTCCATGTCTAAGAAATCCTAGTGTGATGCTTAGCTAGTTAAGAAAGTTATGTGCTTATTGCCTGGAGTGCAATGAAAGCTCCTGCAAAGCAAGACCCATACTTTGCTTTTGTTTCTATACCATTGCTTTGTAATGAACTATTGCGCCTGTGTCCTGCTTCCCACCCAGAAGAGCTGAACCCATCTGTGGCCCCATACAGCTCACAGCAGGAGGACTCATGGAGCAGCCAGCAAGTTCTGCTTAACAGGGTCACTGGGCATGTCCACGAACACCCTGAAACATCGATGGAATCGCACACCCACAAGCAGAGTGCTGTCTGGGTGGCTCTCGGGTTGTGAGGTCAACAACATGCATCAAATAAGCCCTGTACTCATGTCAATGTATAATCCTGTACAAAATAAAATGGAATTTACATTTAAAATTAAAACACTGTGCAGTTATATACACACAGAGGACACCGCAGGGGAAGAAAATGCAAGGTATACCCATAATGAAAGATGTGCACTTCTGCATGAATAAAAAGGTCTAAAATATGTAACAGACATTAGATGTGACATGAAAACAACTGATTTATTCAACACTTACTTATGAAAAATAAGAGCATTTATTTCATATGATTTAACATGATCCTCAGAAACACCATATTTCCCATCAAGTTCTTCGCCCACACATTTCTTTGGACAACAGAAAAAATAAATTATAACCATTTCCTTGGATCTTGAGGAACTAAGATAAAAAATCCTGCAGACTTGTTCTTACCTAGCAGAGGTAGGTTTGTAGTAAATATGAATAGCTGTGATAACAGCACAGAATAAAATTCACAAATATGTAAATACTGGGATTCGAGTCTTATCTCAAGAGAGCCAAAAAGATATTAAAAAAAAAAAAAGAAAAAAAAAGCAGAAAAAAGATCCATATTTAAATAAGTATAACAGAATATTAAAACTATTCTCCTGGAACCTCAGCAAGTGTAAAAACCTGACAAGAGAAATTAACTCCATTAAAGGCAAAAAAACCTGAAAACAAGGAACAAAAGGAGTAAGTGAATGAAAGAAAGGGTGAACTAATAAAAACAGTAAAGCAGGAAGCAGCCTTGTTATAAGCCCAGAGATATAACAAGAGACAGAAGGAGATTAATAAAACCCTTTTAAGAGCTGTATTATTCCTTTCAGCGTATATTTAAAGCCATGTAAACTTTAGACGTGCTGATGACCAAGAACAGTAGAAATGTACAGCATGATAACCGCAAGGCGCTAAGTGGCTCGGCAACAACAGCTGCTTTTATTCCTTGCCTGCTGATAGCCTGTGATCCTCTTCTTTTTCTTGTGCTTCTCATTTCCATGTCAGGCTTGACATATGCCTGGTTTGAATGTGCCATATCATATTTTGATATATGTCATATCTTGGTTGTGCTGGGTTTAAAATGGAAGCCCCAGCATGACATAATTGCCAAAGATATAAGGGGAGGTTACAAGGTGCATTTAGGGATTTTTTTGGTTCTGGAGTAGCAGGGTCCAAAGCCTTAAATTTAAATCTGTGCCAGGCAGGGCTGTTCCTACTGATTGTGCTTCTCAGGACCTGTGCTGAGCACCATCCCTGAGAATGCCTGAGCCAGGCTACCAGGATGGGTCAGCACACCCAAGCTCACTGTGGTGTTGGTTGCAGTGAAACCACGGAGTTACAGGCTATTACAAACCGCAGTGCAACCTGTCCTGTTTCTCTGATACTGATGCCCAAGCTGTTGAGAGCTAAACCATGTCTCCCACCACAGCCTGCTGTGTGGTCATCAGAGCCCCATGCACAGCGCCAGGGTAAGAGTGGGGCAGAGCAGGTCTTTGAAGCTACGGGTCCCAGCCTTCCCCATCACAGCCTTTCATGCAAGTTTCTGTGGATATACCCATGGTTTCAGATAAATGCAGATTGAGGCCCACTTTCAAGATCCAGCCCGTCCTGCTGTTCATGTGGTTTCTACTGACACAAAGAGGCGTCTTAGGTGGAGCTCCAGAGCTCTCTGGTGGTGGAAAGCCCCAAATCCACTTGATGCCACAGTCTGGGACCAGTCTCTTGTTTACGTGGCCAGGAGAGGCAGAACCCAGCCCAGTTCACCAGCAGGTATCCCACACTCAGCTCTTCCAAGAGTGATGGGTAGACCATGCACCTGAGACATGGGTGACAACAGGCAGCCCCATAGACGAAACACAAGAGGCTCCCAAGGCTTCATATGCTTCAATTGGTCAACAAGCCAGGTCTTTACCTCTTACTCCAGAAACACTTTGGGGGCTTGAGCTGTTCCTCTACCCTTAACACCTCCATGGCATTGAAGTGCCGCAAGAGGCGTTGTGCCAGACAGGCTGCCCTACTGCAGGTGCACTGCGTGCCTTATGGTGATGCCAAGACAGCTCCAGAACTAGGGTCAGCCATGACTGCTGATTAATCCCACCACACCCCTTAGAGCAACTCTGGGGATTGGGGGCAAGATGAGGAAATTAAGCACGCAATAAATGTCTGTAGAATTAAATTGGACTACCTATAAACCACAGAGGGGGGGAAAAAAATCACATTTCCTCTTAAAATACCATTATAAAAATAGACCACTCCTGTCCTGTTGGCTTGGGGAGAGGGAGACGGAACAGACTGGATCCAAGCTTTATTTTTCATCCTGACCTATTTTTCAGTTACATTCATGAAAATATCGTCTGCATTCTCTCCCTGCACTTCCCTCTCCCATGGTTTTTTTTTTTTCTTACACTCCTATAACTCAAAAAAGGCTACGCTGATTTTTTTTTTAATCTGTTAAAAAATGTGCTCCCTGAGCTGAAACCAAATTTCAGCCCAGAGCAAATTTTTACTGTTGGGTTATAAATCCCTGAAAAACAGGATTCATAATGGAAGTGCTGACACAGCCTTAACTACTATATAGCAGTGTGAATGGCGCCACTATAATATCTATTAGAGATTCTTTAAAAAGTTTGCAAAATATTGTCTTGCCTTGCAGAGAAAAAGAAGCCAGAGTACTTAATGCCAACATAAACATGCTTTTAACCCATTATGTGCTAATTTGCAGAAAAGCTATTAATTCTGAGTACGCACACAGTGCAGCACTGACAGGAAATGTTCTTCTAAACTCCTGTTTGACTTGTAACATGGTTTTAATCACTTCCATGAAACACAAACGATGGCTTCAAACTCTGAATGTTGCTCAGAACATGAGAAGGGTGATTACAACAGAGAGGAAAAAGGGATTTTATTGGCAAAAGGGCTAAAGCCAACAGGGAGAGAACGACACCAAAAGCTAAAAAATGGGACTCTGTTCCCTGTCAATTTGGGGACAAATGCTTCATTTGATTTCACAGCATTTAATGCCAGTCATCAGCATGCCACTATTTTATCCATCACAACGCATACTGCAGGTCAAGTTCACTTTCTATCAGGCAGCCAGCATGTTTTCTTCTTCCTTGAACCCAGTCAAGTGTTAGCACCTCACAAATCCGGTTCTGCTAAAACAAGCTGTGCCTTGCTGTTTCAGCCTGCAGTTTGTGCATCTGAGACTAGTGCTAAACTAGCCCAGCCGTTCTACTGTTCCTGGGGGTCTGCTAAGCAGGCAAAGGGAGCACTGCCCTGGGACTAAAACACAACAAAGAAATAAAAGATGTTGGCAGTGGTGCTTGGTCAGCAACATACATAAAAGGCTAACTTGAAAGCACACGAAAAAGTGAAATAAATCAGTTCAGGAATGTACTTAGATTTTTTAGTTCTCTTTGTGCAGGAATTTGTGCTTTCTCCTCAGGTATGAGTACTAGCTTTACTTTTATGTGGAAATAAATGGAGGTGGGATCAGCTGTAAGCTGAATACTAGAGGGATATTCAGCAACCCAGGACAGTGCTTACGCACTGGATGCAGTGGTTGTGGTTTTTATGTTTCTGCTGTTGTCATCAGTAGAAGAGATACTGTGTTAGTCCAGTGGCTGCTAGAGCATGTGATTTAGCCCCACAGTTTTTGGGAGGAAGGGTAATTTTCAGGAAAAGGTAAGTTTTTCTATGTTGCCATGTTTCTTCATAGAATCATAGAATGGTTTGCATTGAAAAGTCATGTCTTCAGTTCTGCCTTTGCAGACTCTTGTGTGACTCCTCTTCCTGCTGTGACCACTGCTCATGCTCTCCCATCTGCCCATGGCAGCGGTGGCTGGGGGCAGTTGGAAAAGCAGAAGGATGAGGAGTGGGAGGAGTGACTTCCCCCCTCATGTTTCTACAAGGACCTAAAGAGCAATGGACACTGCATTGGGTGATTTCTGTGATGCTCTCAAGAGGGAAGAAAGACCAATTTATAATCAAACCAGCATGGCTGGTACTGCAACTCGCTTCAGTGAGTATAGTGTGTGCAGATGCTATACTCCAGACTCAGATTTTTTGGACACTGATGTAAATCGTGCCAGACTCCTCTGGATGAGAAAGGAGCTGTATCCACATTTAACAACTTCATGGGCTTCTCTGTAAAACAACCCCATATTTTTCCCCTAATGAGATTATCTTGTGTAAAACAAAACCAAGGTCACAGAATCATCCTGATAATGATCACTATAGCAGGAAAGGACTTAGGTTCTACCTTAGGAATCAAGTTACCTTTCAAGAGGGTAAACAGCATTGTGAGCAGTCCTGACAATATAGAGCTAAGAAATGCTGGAGAAGACACTCATTGCCTCTCATACTGGAGCTGCTGATGTTTCAGCTCTTTTCCCCTACTTCACACAGGGGTGAACATTGACTGTTCAAAGCGACACCCCAGAATAGCCAATACTCTAGTAAATTCCCAAAGAGGAAGACCAAATTTCACATCCCTTTTCTAATTACGAAAGCTAGAACAGGTCCAAGAGAAGCAAATGAGACACACAGCATATGACATGTATGACTTTGTTAAGTGTGTCTTGTCTGCACTGGAAAGAAGCAGTAACATGAATTTTTGTCTCTTGTAACCCTGGCAAGTGTCTCAATCCAGAGGAATGAACAGAAAGGCTGGCCCTACCTGGCTTCAGTTTTGACCTTAAGTTCCCTTGGGGCAGCTTCCACAAGAAATTTTGATTTTTGACAGTCAATATTTTCCAGCAAAATGGTTTTCTGCTAAAGGATTCCTGACCACCACTAGGTTGAAGTTTGGCCCTCTCAAGCAGACAGACAGTTAGGGACTCTAAGTAACTTTGAAGACCAATGAACTTTAAGGAGCCACTAGAATGCCTCACATTCACACTTTAAATCTTTTACGTAAGCAGGCCATTTAAGCCAGAGGACAAGTAAGCACCCGTCCTGGAATCCAAGAATCTCTACTTTGTTCCCAAATTATGAGGACATGTAGTTTCTTCTAAACAGCCGAAGTATTGTGCCTGTCACAAGCTTCTCAAACCTACCAGCTGAGTGGCTGAGATACAATTTTCTGCTTTTATGCCATTCAAATGGTTCTGAATCAGTAAAGCTGGAGACTGTTTCAATTTTGCAGTGTTCTCAATAATCAAGTCTACCTACGAGAATAACCACTTGCAGGATTCAGTCCTTTAAAGATGTAACAAAATACTTTTCATTTTTTAAAGTACCTTCTTTCACTTCCTGTTTCTGGTCTTGATTTTCTGTCTCCAAGTCATCCTGTGCTTTTGGCTCCACCATCTCTTCATCATCTTCATCCTCTAGAAAAAAAGGAAGAAAAGAATTCGTAGGATTCTTCTCTTTAAAAGGTATGGAAATTGTATCTGTTTTATAATTATAAACCGGTAGTAAACACAGGTAAAGCAAAGTGCACAATGAATGGAAATGTCTACATTTATTCTCAGGTTGACACTCTCAGATATTTCCCCCCAGAGTGCAAGATAATCTGCTAACACAGGGCACCTGCCACTTCTGGTCCCTGTAGCAACTTCCCATCTCAGATGTCAGCTGAATATCTCCCTGACCTCAGAGATGACTTCTCGGATGGCATAAGAACAGATGAAAACATGTTTCAGCCTGGCAGCTATTCCACGTTTGGGACACCTGCTACCCAGACACCTCATTTCCAATTCAATTCTCACCAGATTAATTTGTCTTTTGACCTACAGGAAGGGGTTAAATAGAATTCTGACCTCAGGTCAGACGCCACTAGCAAGCAAACAAGCATTGTACAGTTCTGAAAAGTCATCACCATCAGCTGGGGGAATACAGCAACCAAAAGTGGCATTCGGAGCTTAGGAACCATTCTTGCATTAATACGAATTTAATGAACGCTAAAATTTGACACATGTCAGTTACTACTGCCAGATGTTTTAATGACCTTTCCTGACCTATGCAAATGGCTCTCTCCCCTTCCCTCTCTCCCCACATTCACATGTTCTCATTTTATTCAGGAGGGAAAACCATTCATTCCTTGATGTCTGTCTGAAGTTACGAGGGTTCTGATTGTCCAGGCCAAAGTGTAATACCAGCAGAGCTAGAAAGACAGTGATGCACCAAAATGGCCCAGAGTCTACCTAACCCTCATTTCTTGTTCTCAGCTACAGCAGTGTGATTCATTCTCTAGTGCCCAGGGCTGGGACCCAACTAACTCACACTCGAGAGGGCATGGACGCTCAGCCTTCTAGATTCAGTGAACTATGAAGACTGAAAATAGAGCTGGTCCTAAAAGAGTGAGTTAGAGTAATTAACAATTAGGATAAGCAACTCTGTGGGGTATGGTGGAATTAGTTTGGAGTGATTCTGGAGTCTGATGTGCCATCAAGGCATAGCAAACACCACTGAGCCCTGGATCGGTCCATCACACATGTTGTCCTGGCCTGGGGCATTCAGCCATCAGCAAAACCACTTAGGTTCCTTCAGGGCTTCCTGAGTAATCTGCCTGTCACCACATGGCTCCTCATGACATGGCACTTCTCCAGGCACACTCTCTGCTCTAACACTGCCATGTTAACACAGCCTGGAAGTGGGCAGGGGGCAACATGTCATGCTTCTCCAACTACTTGGCTACTGGCACCTTCTGCAAAGGCTGGCTGCAATCAGTGCTGGCTTCTTGGGGAGATGTTGGTGCTGACAGGTTGCAGTAACACATAGATGTATTTTGATTTCGATAATGTAATAGGCCCCATACTATTTCCATCACTTTGCCTACCCAGAAGACCACAAAGTGCCTGTTGCTAGCTGACACTTTGGCTGGAGAGCATAGCTTAGCCACATACTGTAAGGATGTATCACAGCATGGACAAATACGCTTTTCCCTCTTGAGAAAATGAGGAAATCTTGACATAAGTTCTGCCTTCGCTTCCCCTACTGCTAGCGACTGCAGCAAGGACTGCAGCTCTGCTTCCCCACCATCAGGGAGGAGTGATAACCACGTGCTCCCTGGAAGGGAGGAGGAATCCAGCATGGGTGGGGAGGCATTTCCAGAATTAAAAGCACTACTAATGAATGCCACCCCTCTATCAGGGCTTTTTCAGACCAAGAAACTCAGAGTGGGGAAAAGGAAGGGTATTCACTATGCCTCCCTTTGGTGCCTCACTTGACAATTACGTTTCCCTGGGTACCCTGTATAGAAGGACTATAGAGAAGAGCTTTTAGAGAACAAGCGAGGTTGTTCCAGTTCATCAGGGTAAACACACTGCCTTGTTCACTGGCTGAAAGACAGATAACATCTGATGCAGTCAGCAGAGAATCAGTGAGAAGAGCTCTCCCGCTGTACACACATAGGAGGGGTAAAAAAGGTCCTTCTGCCATTGGTCTGCGCTGCTAGTGAAGATGGGGATGTATGAAAAAGAGAGGCACTCCCAGTTCCAAACAACAGATGAGAAGTATGAGAAGAGAGAGGAATGACTGGTGCAGCAGGGAGTGAATACTCTGCTAACCTCAGGTACATATGCACACTCAGATAAGATCGTAGTGGTGTACAGATAAATGCACACGGACATGCTTATGGTGGATACCTAATGAAGCCAGCTCCCACAAGAGTTTTGCAAGTCTTGCATTACAAGTTTTCGTTCCCTAAAGCACCAGCTCTTGGAGCTAGCTGTTTACATATGGGCTTCAGCTTCCATTTTTAACTGGTTTCCAGCCTGTCAGCGGCTGCAGGGAAGTCTCAGAAAGCGAAGGATTTGAGAAAACTCACAGGCAGCAAACAAAAAATAAACCAAAACTAATTGAAAATCTTGGGATTTTTAAGGCAGCATGCTGTGCTTTTTAATGCCTCACTTGTAATTTGGAAATGGATAGGGATGATGTAGCAAATGTAGAACTTGAGATTTAGTAGTGGTTTTTCAGACTTAAGTGAAACCGATTTATCCCTGTCCCCTACAGGTCCTTGACCCTCCTGATTTTGGGTGTCAAATTATTTGCCTGCCT